GAAAGCGACACCACAAGAGGTGAGGGTCTGAGAAAAGGTTAGAGTATGGGTACTAGATAGAGTGAGTAGGGGAGAAATCATGACCTGGGAGGTAGTATAGTTAATAATACCAATTCTGCGTGTGGCCATGGGAGCAGGTGGCTGAGGTAAAGCGGATAATTGGGAAGAAGGAAAGTAAGTTAAGAGAAGCCAGGTAATTCCTGTGTTATCCACGTACCCAATCAGAGAATGTGGACAAGATCATTGTTGAGGAGTGTGGCAGTAAGTCTGAGGCTAAAATCTTCCAGCAATGAGAGTCTGTAGAACACTACAACTGGGGAGCAGAGTGTTAGAAAGAACAGACAATGGTACAAAGACCCAGCAAAGAACAAGGCCCAGTGGTACGACGGACGCTACCAGAGAGACTCTGACTTCAGTCAGGAGTGAAGGGGCTTTCAATAAAGTTTCATAAACTTCCTCTTGGAACTCCGGCACAATATTGTGTTAGAGATGTTCTAGACAATTTGTATTTTTGTTACTGTTGAAAATACTCTTTTTATATGTGTCTATTATGTATATTTATTTGTATAATTATATATCCATATGCAATTTTAAATTCTAATTTGCTCAGGCTAGTGTTCATAACCTATAGACCAACTCTGGTGTCTAAAATGCATTCTGGTTGTTATTATATACTGATATTACTTACATACTTTGTAAAATTTTCTTATCAGTTATAATCATTTATTTGTCGATTACATTTTGGTTTTATGTAGACAAATCTGAATATGCTTTTTAACACTTTCAGTCTTAATATCTTTTATTTTTACTTTTTTTTTTTGTTCAAACTATGGCCTCCAGTAGAGTGTTGCATGGAAGGGGTTGATAACGAGAAACCTTATTTCGTTACTGATAACAACATGAATGTTTTGTAATGTTTCAGTATTCAGAATGATATAAACCATAGGGGTTTTGTTAGATTCTCTTAATCGAGTTAAGGAAAGACTTTGGTCTGTTCCTTTCCTGGATTGCTAAGGTTTCCCTCCACCCGCCATCACGAATGACTATAAATTTTATCAATTACTTTTTTTTGTTGTTGCATCTAGTGAGAATCATATGTTTCTTTCTACTTTACCTATTGTTAATGTACTTTATTGCATCAGTAGGTTTTAAAAAATATTTTGTTTATGATTTTTGCATTTATATTTTTGAGTGAAATGAGCATAATTTTCCTTTCTCATATTGTCCACTTTTGGTTTTGATG